GTCTGACACTGAGCAGCAGTGAGTCACCCATTTATGGACACACGGATAATGCACTTTCGTTTTATGTTACATGTAACTGTTCAACTCTAAACATTGGGTATACAGAACTGTGTTCACGTTGTGACATGCTTCCCTATTCTGATTCATGGGTGACTACATAGTAAGGTCGTACTGTGAGTCAGTGAGTTCTATGATTCTATGGTCTGTCAATGCAGGTAATTGAATGAATGGCAAGTGCGGATCACGTCGGTTTACCCAGTATGTGCTCAAAACTAGTGGACCGATGCGGTTAAAAGTCAGGCACCTCTACTTGTTGCATACACGTGTATGTGCTGAGTGTTTTTGCTGGCTTCTGAAACAACGTAGTGTATAGTGTATAGTGTATAACAATGTAGTATGAGTATGTGGTTGGTAATAATGCAAAGCCAACATCTTTGTTACGTCAGATTTATGTGCATCTCTCGGCGTCCATATTTTGTTGGCCGCTTAGCAGAATCTACTGTGCATAGCAGCATATACTGTGCATAGCAGCATATACTGTGCATCTTCAGTTCCCCGCTCAAGTCCATTACTGAGTTGGCAGCGATTGGCGGATAGCCCTCCCACATTGTACATTGTCCAATGCCCATGTGATGGCATACTCTTCTTTTTGTCTTTTTTATATTTTCTACGCCTTCATTTTGATTTGATAACAGCCGAAGTTTGTTTCAGATGATGGCCCAGTCACATGGAGAAGCCCACCTACATGTGTATTTCATGTACATTATAATACTTGTGATGAGTACTCTGTTCTTTGCTTCTGATGTACATACGATCCCCAATGTGATTTGGCTACAGCTCATTTCGAAAGACTATCCATGTATTGGACATAATCTTATCAGTGATTGTAATGCTATTGTATACCAAAGGGCATTCTGAATTGTATTGTGAAACAAGGCCCACAAGAAGTGATAAAGACTGTAAAATGTCCAGGTATATCACGAGGGGGGAGCCTCCCCTTCCACCCCATTCTGCATCCCTAATCGAGGGGCTGAGCACCCCCCTTCTACCCAACTACTGTACTTACAGTGCAATGGTATTGACCTTTTGTATGCACACAATTGTCGTACTGCGGGCGACCCCAGCATGGGTTCTAGTTGCACGATTATCATCAAACCTTGGATACCGGTGGTTCTTGGTCTTTCTTTGGCAATGCAAAAAACTGGAACTGCTTACAGCATAGGAAAGGTGGTAAAATTTGAATTTCGACTTCCGTTACCATGGCAACATCAAAATAATAGTATTCCTTTGATTTGGTCAACTTAGGACAAGAATCCCGGGACAAGAGATACATGATAAGAAAGCCCTAGCACCACTCTATCATTTCGTATAGTCAAACCTTGGTACCCTTCTGCTCGGAGCGAAAAATACGAATTTTGCACCCTGGCCTGCGGACTACTACCGCTGCTTTGAGTTGACTCAGTAGGTCTGGGACACTACCCAACTACACACACTTTCACACCCAGTTGCCTGTTGATATACCGTAGTACATACTTGTACCTAAAGAGAATGGATCACATAGCCAAGTGGACAATTTAATACATCCAGTTCAGCGTGACAATGACATGTTGGGCGTTGTGTGTGGCCACTTGGCACAGATCAGATACTGAGATAGGCTGATGTGACGTCCCCAGGTGATTGGATGGGTGTGTGTCCGCGCGTGTTTCTAGGTGTAGTATATCTGCTGGTTTATGTACGTGTGATTGTATGTGCATGGTCTTGTACATGTGAATGACTCGGCCATGTTTCGGCTTGCATTGGAACTGTATTCTCGACCAGAGAATGCCATTGCAATTTTGGGCAGGCGGCTAGATGAACATTGTCTTAGGATAAGTCACAGCCGATCACTAAAGAAGAACCAGAAATGGGCAGCGTCTCCCTCGAGCTGTCAAGGCTCTGCAGAGGACATGCAACCAAAAGCTGATGGCCGGCGTATGTCGGTGCTGTACTGCCAGCTTGCGGAAGCCAGTCTCACCCTTTCTACGGTTTGACAGTACAGACTTGTCTAATCCCAAGCTCCAGGTCAATACCTATTGGCGGTGCAGTGTCCTCCGTGGCCCTATGGCAGGAGCGACCTTTTGTGTAGTTCAGTTTGGCGTAGTAAGGGCGATTTCCTGTCGTCTTTTACCTCTCAGAACTTAATCTTACATATCTACAGTGTAGAGGTGTGCGTATAATGCTCGAAAAGGTGCAGCAGATTCTGCTCGAAATGCAGTGAAATTGGCAGAACCATACAAACCTTATGGCGGGCAATTCCTCGAATTCTGCTCCATTTCTTTTTCCACATACCAAACATGCATGAAACTTACCAGAAAAGGTGCCGAATTCTGCCAATTTGTCTGCCGGCATTATCCGCATATACCTACTACAGTCGACACGAAGCCTGATGGTTGAGCGCCGTTTCCATCGAATCTAAAGTCGTACTCGAAGTACGACTGTACATTCTAAAACCCGGATATCCGATTTTTTTGTGTTTGTATTTATATCATTATCTCATGGCACATCATGATGACGGCCAGTAAAACTGAGACAAGGGTGAAAGCCAACCACAGATTGGAGTGCGATAAATCCCGGTTCAGATTCCATCAAGAATGCATGACCATTGTGTATGATGCTGCAGTTTGTGACACATTTTGGAAGTGGCAGAAGTGGGACAACCGCCCTTTATGGGAAGGTGCCATCCGCGAAGGAAATCGGTGTGGAATTCTCGCGTTGCTGGGTGGGAGAAGATGCATGTATCTTGATCAAAAAGCGTGTGAATCCTTTTTAACCGTTGATGTTATGATGGACCTCACTTTCACCGGTTTATTGAACTTGATTCGCAGCCATTCCTTCAGGAATTGCGTAACGTCAGATTCGTACATTCAGCCGACACTTCCAACGACATCTACATCTACATGTCCATGCGCATAAATCATGCAAATTAAATCTTCAGGCTTGGCACTACTTCCTTCCTTGAGGCTGATCAGGGCATGGTACAGGGTATACATGTACGGGTGGTCAGAGTGGATACCATACCTCAATGTGTCCCCTGTAGTGTTAGGATGGTCGCAGGTGTCTCCACTCCCCACATCGCCTCACAGGCGGCTAAATCGGTCGTGCAGGCAATCACGATGCGAAGTGATCACTCTTGGGATTACGCACCATACAAAGGCAAATATTGTGCTGTGTTGATTTACATTTTGTAGATCAACGCTATGTTTTGGCTTTGGCGGGCCAAGGTGGCCACGCAAACCAACCGAGTAGGTACGATGAAAGGCCTGTAGCTCAATTCGACTTTTAATGGCGCTGAGATGGCCTTGTCATCCCAATGGTGATGTGGTACAGCGGTACATATGAAGAAGAATGCATGTAGGAACATGATAAGTATTGACCATAGTCAGCAATGAATTCGACCACCCGAGCAGCTCCGCCAATGTTTGCGTCGCCGCAGCAAACATTGTCTGTACACCTGGATTGCACAGCGAGCACTTACGTGTGTTACCTTTCAGCCTACTGGTAAAGTGGAATTCGCATCGGGGGCAAAGCTGGGCTTGAGGTTCTCTGAGTCTTGGAGGGGAAAACATCCACCAAACAAATGCGTTGCACCAAAGAGATTCGATCATCGGGATTTCAGTATCGCGGGGCGTTTCTAGATAATGACTGTGTTATCATCCTCCATACCAAATCGAAATGTCGGTGAGATGAAAGCAACGGATGATTGCGTTGCACATGCTACAACTTTTAAATGTGCACTGTCTGTCACTCGCTTTGCCAAACTGCACCCCTAGAATTCGACTACAACAACAGTAGAGCCATAGGCATAGGAGAGGTCATTGTTTGCGGCGCGGTTGGTTACTCTCACACATAGCCTCGTACATGCAGGGTGTTGTCACAATAACAATGCGATCATGTAGAGTCATGATTCTGGTGTCTTCTTGGCTAGTATGGGGAACTCATGTACATTGTTCTTGACCTGCCCGGTACGCGAACCCGTCGAATTGATTTTTATTTATGTACATAATTGTGGAACAAAAATGTACATTGTGGACTTGTGCCTTAGTTGTGGGTCTAAATCATGACCTGATCCGACTGGGGTAGTGCCGAGCTGCATGGCATTGTAACATTGTTCTAGAGTCGACGGGTCGCCGACATAACGCCAGCTCCTACTAAATTTAGTAGGGAAATATGCGATGTGGTGTCACTTGCCTGTCAATGTGCCTAGCTGCGTTGCCATGAGTAAAAACATCTTTCTGAAGTTCTTGTTGGTATCTCATGCCCATGCGTGCAGGACAGCCATGTTGGTTGCAACCAGAGGCAGAGAGTCGGTAAAATTGTATTTTTTATCACTCCCTGGGTATGGTTCCCGACCCCTACTGGCCCTAGGCCCTGCACCTCTCTGGCTAGCTGGGGCACATAAATCATAATGACTGTCTGCCATGCTGGGTCCACTGTCCACGTGCCATGATCACTTTCTACACAAAAATCATAATTATTACTATTAGGAACATGACAAAGATGGGAACTATTCTTCACTGTAGATCCTATTTTGTGTCACCTCTGTCGCTTTTTCACAAATCTTGCAAGTAAGGATTAGGTGCGACTGACTTGTACTCACCCATCTCTAGCCATAGGCGCGACATAGCCATAGGCATAGACCATGTAGACCGGGCCAGTAGAATGTAGATCTACACGTGCAGATGGTAATCTGCACGTTTTGTGTCGCGGTACGTGCGTGCGCAAGTCCCCGCGCGGGCAGCAGGCGAAAGGCGATGAAAAACGACTCTGGGGTTTGTGAAGATGCTCGTGCAAATCAGCAAGAAAGGACTAAGTAAAAGGCAAGCATGATGCCAGCCAATAGCTAGCACCTCTTCGAGTTTGAGCTTGGGTCCTGACATGATTGACCACTTGGAAGAGTTAGTTTTGATTGGACGATGAACGGAAGTACAGGGTAGAATGGGGCCAGCCAAGATGAAAGGCGAAAACTGGCCATTCGCTTCAAGAAGAGCCTTTTTGGGGCCACTTGGCCTACATGGCCAGTGCAGTCCTTGTTCGGCCTGTTGTAGAGCAAGCGAGATGGAGCGGTGTTCCTTGTGTAAATGACGTCTAAGTGGACATGGGAGACACCCATACAGCCGACACCATCGGGAAGCGGACCGTGCTCGGGCAGTGAGCCGAGAGCTGAAGAACTGAGAAGGTGGTGAACGCGCTCGGTCGACGTCGAGCGCGGAGGGTGGCGAAAGTGTTACATGACATGCTCGGCTGCTCCGCCACCGGCGAATGTAACGTGCGCCGCTCACGGCTTTCCTGCGCTATCTGGCAGCTAACCCGCTCTAGGCGTAGCTATGGCTCAGTATCATGAGCCTGTCCAGTGCACTTTCTCTGCTATGTAAGTCTACGCTCTTCCTTTGCCACTCTCCTTTGAGGCCTCCCGAGCGGAAACAAGAAAGAAAAGGAGGTGGCAGTGCTGTGTCAAATGCCCTTTGCTGCTGTGCTCTGGCCGTTGTTTGCAGCTCCTGTCGAGTGCGCGTGCAGCATTTTGTTGCAACACTGTAGGCTGAGTCTTGCGATGTCCAGGCCAGAGACCACAGTGATACATGTACTGGGAGGCCACGGGCCGAACTGTTTGTGAATTGCTCCACTTACTGGCGTTCATGTAGCGTATGATAGTCTGTTGTCAAAGCACTTTAGGCTATTGTTTCAGCACAATCTGAACTAGAGGGCAGTGATCTGACCGTGCATAGGCAGCAGTAGGAGATTTGAGGACGGATCATTGGGTCTGGTAGATATCTGTATGGACAACTCGGACATCAAAGAAAAGCAAGCCTGACCCATGCTGTTGCATGTGAGCAACTCATAAAACTGCTGTGGAACATCCCAAGCACCATCAGTCACAGCCTCCTCCCCTGAGTAGTCACTGCAGAGCAAAAGCCTCCCTCTTACACACCTGCTGAACTGCCTGGAACAGTGTGACGTTCTGTGTACAAGGGATCTGCTGGTTAGAAAAGCGAGACTCAGTTTGATTTCGAAGTACTTCAGGCTAGTTTCGGTTACAATCGTCAAATTGTCTGCACATTTTCAGTTCATTTGGAGCATTCCCTCCGTGTTCACAGCAGTAACAACTGTATGGGTTACTAAAGGTCAGAGAGTGGGGAGATACTTTGAAGGAAGTAGCTAGAGGGCCTTCACCACCACAGCAGCACAGTTTGTAATTCCGGCAGCACTATTCCAGTGCACAACCAGCTCCTAATGTACTCCCGTGCCAACAAGATGGAGTCGTCGTTCAATCCTCTATCCAGGAGTGCGGCGTACCCGGAGCCCAAGCGACGGTCAATGGCTACCGGCGCCGGCAATCGTGATGCTAGCGCCGCGGGCGACGTGAGACGTAGTGTTGGCGGCGGTGGTGGTGATGGTGATCGTCCTAGCTCCTTGATGATGGCAAGCAGTATGCTGCATCTCTTGGACGAACTAGGTACGGTTTTGATGTCTGCTTAGGACTATTGAAATGTGTTACTTGAAGAACAGCTACTGGGTCAAATGTATACAGAGTGCTTTCTACACAGTTGTCTAAGGTCCTCAGGCTGTGTTTAGTGCTCTATATCCAGTGGATAGAGCCAGTAATACACTAATCACCCTGCAATGAAGCAAACAAATCTTTTTTCCGCCGTCAGAGTGCTTTCTAGATATTCACTAGTTGAGAGAATGGATATAAAATGGGGATTCCAAAATGCGGCCTTCTTTAGATTCCGACTGTGAAAGCGTTTATAAGAACTTGCACACTAGGACGCAGCCATTCAAACTGTACTCAGTCTCAGCCAGCATACTCAACGGTCCCCGCACTGGGTAAACAGCCTCTTTATTAACTCTGGTCTTTGCACTGGGAAAGTAATCTTTCTCTTGAGAAAAAGTATGTTCTTCCCCAGCAGAGACCATTGGATACCCTGTTACTTCTAAGTAAGACTGTGTCAGACTATTTTCTCATTTTCTCGAGTACAGCTTTATCGAGCCACACTTCATCTTTTATTCTATCGCCATCATAATATTGGGCAGCAATGCCCGTTTGGTTTGCGATGTAAAATGAAATTTCGAACAAACAAACCGAAAAGTAATGCCTAGTGATAAATGTTTGGAACGTCACAACAGCCGGACGTGCCTCTCCAGGAAACGTTTGAGGTCACGGCAACAGGAGATATTATTAGTGTCAGTAATCACACAATTTCCAGCGCTTGGATTAAAATACTCCACCATGCGAATCAATGTCAAGCCGAGCCGTGTACCGCTCTAGGCCTGCGGACACGGGCTTTCCACTGGTGTTGGGTGCAAACCTCACTGGTGAGTTCGGAATTTCATTAATTTATCAGACATGTGAATAAGCACAGTGTAGTGTGATGATGCATTCGCTCTTTCTAAATGTTCGCCAATCTGCTTATCTGGGTGTTTGTCTCCACCGTCTGTACATATGTACTTATCTGGTATGGCACTTCTAGCCTCTTTTACGGGCAAAAATTAACTTCAATCCTGATGATGGCTCCTGGCCGAAAATTTGTTTGAGATATTGTGATTTGCAACGAAGAGACCACTTGATTTGAAGATGGTGTGTGTAAGGTTTTTCATGTAAAAATAACACAATGGATTAAAATGCAATACAACATACGCAGGAGAATAAATCACGCATGGCACTATTGTAGGGCACTTCTGTTTATCGCAGTTCCCTGAGCATCCATTCATCTGTCTTTCCTCTTTCTGCCTGTGTGGTTCTCCTCGGCTGTCCGTCCGTGTTTTCTGTCCGTCTGTTCCTCTGTGTGTCCATTTGTCCGTCCGCCTGCCTGGTTGTCTGTCCGTTTCTCCGTCTCTGCATCGGTTTTCATGCCTGTGTGGAAATTTAGATGCTCTCCTGGCCGACATGCCCACACCCAAGCAAGCGGTTATCACAGATATCAATGCCAGCGACTTCCAAGTCAAGCCGCAGAAGGCAATCGTGTCACCACCCGTCGCACCAAAGTAAGCTAATGTCACGTGCACAGACTCGGCGTCGGTGCCAGCCTAGCTGACGCGGCTTGAGCCAAGCCGATCTTTTATTGCTCGTCAGTCACCAACGAATATTCAATGGGAAGTTTGATGAATACAGTAACCAGGGAATGTTAGAGACCTCTCGTCTACATGAGCTCGAGAATAGCTAAACCATTCAAGAATATTACCTTCCCAGATTTATTCTGCCTCCAAAGCCAACGTATGTGTCGCGTCGTAGACGTTTCCGCGTTTGCAACCCGGTCTTTGCTAGGCACCACGAATCTAACCTTTTAAACTTTCACAGCAAAGTCTAGATGCATGAAGAAGATCATAACGCCCTTTCTGCATTTGTCACAAGCACAAAGTCATTCCTAGGGTTCCCAGTAAAAAGCCAACGCCTGTTGGGAGTTCCCTAGTAAAATAATAAATTCTACTACTGCTGCTGCTGCTGCTGCTGCTGCTACTGCTGCTGCTACTACTACTACTACTACTACTACTACTACTACTACGACATTGGGAAAATGATATTGTGACCTCAGTGTGATCAAATGTTTAGGGTCACCTTCTGGCAAAATCTTGACATTAAGAATAGGACAAAAAACACAATTAACCTGGTATCCAAATATGGATTTAGATATAAGCCACACAAAAGAGGAATCCTCCTTTGGCCATTTAATGGTTATGTTGTAGAATGGACTGGGATGGAGGGCTAAGGATAAATTCAAAGAAAAGAAGAAGGATCAAGGAAGTATCAGTTACACTAAAATGGAATGTTATCGCATGAGCTGATTGTTTAGTAACAGGTGGTGTTAGTGGACATTATAGCGTAACTTTTAGTTCTTTGGTTCTTTTCTTTTCTATGGTTGTGTTGTGTTTTGTTTCGCATCTAAACTCTTCATGGTATCCCTTGCTCCATGCATCCATTGCAGGCCGAAAAGTAATGGCAGGAAGAAGCCTAGTGTGACATCTGAGAGCACCATAACACCAGCCACTGTGCCCGCTGCTGAAGACCCCGAACACGACCAAGAACACGACGACAACGTCACCGACCTCGATGACCTGCTCAACACACTGAACGATCCAAACTTCCTGGAGAAGATGGAGCCCAGTAAGTCTTGGAGTAGGATAAGATTCTTCTTATGTAGTCTATGCCGCCATCTTCTGCATTTAACCTTGCAGTACAGTAAAACCTGGTGTAAGCGACCTCTGGGTTTAGCGGCCACCTGCTCTTAATAGCCAGTGCAGGCTGTCGTAATAAAACGACTCCGTGTTCCATTCCCGTGCATGGTACATGCATGGTGCGACGGCACAATGACAGCTGTCGCAAATCACACTGAGTATTACATGTGTTTGTTGGTGATTCCTGGTTAGCTGCTAGCTTTTCCCTACTCGAAGATGTTGCCGCCGCGAAATCTGGGGGTTTGTGTTCGTCCTGGCGAAAACCGTGTTTTGATCCGTTGAGGGAGACGAGAGATACAGTGCGAAGACGTACGATCTGTCCGAGAATAGGCGAAGAAGAAAGCTTCGCAGACGATCCGTAGTGGTTGGGAACAGAATGGAACATATACCAGTTGATGCCTGTCATGGTAGGGATGACTGCTACGAAGTTTTAGCCCCATACTCCCCAGCGCTTTTTAGCGCCCGACGGTAATTACCAAATTTCATCATTTTTCCATGTGGATCAAAGCATAGTCTCCTAAATCTTCTCCAGTCGAGCTGAGTCTGGACGCTACAATGTCGAGACGCGAAAAGAGAACATGCATGAACACACAGGAGCATCACATGCAGCTGCATTCTGCCTTGACGAAGCTGAGAACAACACCAGCACCACGCATTTGGAAGACATTTCGAAGAAGACGAAGAATTACTACATAATATCTGCGTTCAAGAAAGCCTCTGTACTGTGCAGTATGCATGCGTGCATGCGCGAAGCACGGGGTCCGCGGATCTACTTCGTTCAAAAATCATTGTGCCACACGGGTTGTATGATTTGTGTGCGATCATGGCCTTTCTTCTTGACAAACAAAACTGAAGTTTTTCGATCTTCAAATCGCCATAGCGTCCTTGTCATGACTCCAAATCCGCTGAAACTTTGCAGGAGGAATGAAAATGCCATGCTGAATCGATTGGTACCATTTTCGAAGGGTTTCCTTGAAAAATATAATTTAGCCTGCACTGGTTACTCTTAACGACCGTTTTTCCATGCACGGACAGCTCTACGCGGACACTGTGGGACCTGGTTCTAAAAGCCACCTGGCTTTAACGACCGCTTTTTGCTTGCACCGTGGGGGTGGTCGCTTAAACCAGGTTTTACTATGCTGTCGGGTGCCGGAGAGCTGGAGGTCAGCTTTGTATCCAAGGCCATTCTTATCTTCATGTGGTACAGTCTATGCACAGTTGAGTCACCGTGTATACATTGGTATGCTGTGCTTGGTGAATCGTCTAGTCTGTTCATTCTTCAGCACCCGATAGTACTATTGCTTGTCATGGCAATACGCACGCATTACTAGCACACGGTGAAACCTGTGCAAGACGACCGCTCAAGGGACCTTCAAAACGTGGTCTCTGTTACCAGGTGATCTCCTTATGCAGGGTCATATGACGGGAAATTGCATCCCTTGGTCCTGGCTGTAGTGGTCTTCTGGGACAGGTGGTCGCCTTATCCGAGTGGTCACTGCCTTGACAGGTTTTACTGTGCTAGGTTGTGTGTTTCTAGTCATTTACAGTAAAACTTGTGACTTACGACAACTCCTTGGGGCCAGAGAAAGCGGTCTTTAGTGGCAGGTGGTCTTTAGTTAGAGGTTTGCACAGCACAATCATATATTATGTGAGTGTGACGCCGTCCGTGCCTGGCGAAGTGGTCTGTAGTACCAGGCTGGTCGCTAGTCACGGTGGTCTGTAGTACCAGGCTGGTCGCTAGTCACGGTGGTCTTTAGTTACAGGTTGTACTGTACCTCGATCAACCACAGCCGTGGTCCTAGTTATGTGTCAAACACAGCGAAGAAGACAATGCTGTCAATCCATGCAAATAGAACGAAACTGACATGAAAAATATCTGAACAATCGTCGAGGAGACAATAATTTGATAACCGCAATCAATAAGACCAGCTGAATCAACATTTGTGTATACTTTGCTCATGAAATGTAAACCTAAAAAAGCATATGTCCAACCGCCTTCAGGACTCCAAACAACCATGCAAAACAGCACAACCTCACAGCGCCGTTCACTGTGTTTCGGCATTTATGCTCCAGATGATGGACGGAGGGGACTCTGTCCAAAATAGCTACAGAATAAGCTTGTGTAGATAGGAGCATGATGCGTATTCCACTGGTTCAGCAGATAAAGAAGCTGCGTGTCTGACTAGTGCTTGTCTTCGACACAGGCAACAAAATCACTAATGGTCTCTGACTTTCTTCTCTCTTTTTTTCACCGTTTGCATCTTTCCCTCAAACCTATGAATGAATCCATGTACTTCTCCGCCTGGCTTGTCTTTGCAGCTGGTGCTCCAGAACCTGCTGCAGCTGCCCCCGCTGTTGAGGAACCTGCCGACCCTGGAGCTGTCACGCCCGGCTCGGTACACAGCGAGCCGGCGGCGATCGGATCGCGACCGGACGTGAAGAGTCTGCTGAGCGAGCTGAGTCAGAGCGTGGCCGACTCACCGGCAGCTTCCGGGCCCACGTCCCCGGTGACAGCGTCGACGGCGACGCGTGAACTCGACGAGCTCATGGCCAACTTGTCCTCGTTCCAAGCCAGCGGTGGAGTGAAGGCCGGTGCGGTACCGATAACAGCTGAAGAAGATCCTGGTAAGATGCGAGACAGAAGGGCATTTCTTTCATAGGCCCGCCGGAACCGGTCCGGTTGGTCAGGTTATCACCAGACCAACTTTAGCCTACCAACATGTGTTTCCTACTGTAGAGGCCACCTGTACCCACCATATACACAAACTGTATAAAAGGCCATGATACTACCGGACCAATCAACAACTGCTTCCGGCAGTCCTGTTATACTAAGAACACAGCCCTACTGAGAGATATGTGGAGACAAACACAAAAACAAGACACAGGGGATGCGTAGGGGTGACGTGCCAATGTACAGGGAGTAACTCGACCGACCCGAGGTCTCAGCGTGAGCACATGCAGTATTCTTTGACATGGTGTCAGTCGTAATACTATCCAGCTTGCATTCTCGTTACGTATCACAATATCAACTGTGATGGTGTCAAAGATCCAGTGATAGACAAGCCGCTGCCACCGACATCTCAGTTTCATATTTCACTTTCTAGATTGTGGTTGTTTGTAGGAAACGAATGTTTGATGTCGCGTACGCTGCATGGTTGTATTATGCTATTGTAGTACTGGAACAGCAGCTGTGCGCCTTCGACCCTACACATTATGGTCAGCCTTTTCTTCTGCTAAAACTTGTGCTATAACTTTGCTACAACTCTGTTGTTCGTTGCAGCGAGTGCAAAGTATGCCAAGCCCCGCAAGAACAAACCCAGCTCACCACCTCCCACATCTGCGGTGGCAGCAGCGGCAGCACCAGCAGAGCCCTCGTCCGAAGGCAACGCACAGCTGAATCGTCTGAATGATATGATGGACACCATGCAGAGTGACATCAGCCGCCAGGGCATCGACAATCAGCCGAAGGCAACGTGTGAAGCGTGTCAGATGGGCATCGTGGGGCAGGTGAGCGATGACTAGAGTGTAGGGCATCGTGGGGCAGGTGAGCGATGACTAGAGTGTAGGTGCTGATGACGCTGGATTCAGCAGTGAACATATATAGCAAGGCCGGTGTTGAATATGTATGAAGTGGGGGTGGGTGGGGTGTGTGGGTGTGTGGGAGTGGGTGGGGTGTGTGGGGGGTGTATGTGGGGGGGGGGGGGGGGGGGGAGGTGTCGCACACTAGTAGCAAGTACAAGTATTACCTTCGCTGGGGGCAGGGGTGACTGCAGTGGGATCCCGGGACGGATACCCTGATGCTGTCAATCCTTTTTCTACACCTTGTCCTCACCTACTTACTCTCTCTCTCTCTCACACACACTCTCTCTCTCACACACACACACACACACACACACACACACACACACACACACACACACACACACACACACACACACACACACACACACACACTCTCTCTCTCTCTCCCTCTCACACACACACACACACACACACACACACTCTCTCTCTCTCCTTCTCTCATTGTTCTCAGGTCATCACAGCCATGGGCAAGACATATCATCCGGAGCACTTCACCTGTGTCAGGTGTAACTGTGACCTGGCAACGGAGAATTTCTTTGAGCGCGACGGCAAGGCATACTGCGAAGTTGACTTCCACCAGGTGTTTGCACCGCAGTGCGCCCAGTGCAACGGACCTATTCTTGGGGTGAGTGAGTCTTCCTTCAATCCCCGTTGTACCTATTTTAGAGGGAGTGAGCTATGCTTGGATCTGTCTTGGGTACTTGGCCTTGGGGTGAGTGAGTTGTTCAAGGCTCATTTGGTATCTTCTTGCAAATAGATATGAGATACTTTGCATTGTTTACATGCCTGATTATGTTCATTGTAAGATTGAAGCATGGTTTTAGTTTGCTGAGGGGGCTGGGATCTATGTAAATTGGTCACGCCTTGCAACAAGCAGAATTGTGTAATCCCATTTCATATGTCCTCTCCAAGCATATAACATATAATTATCTGTTATCGCTTCTGGCCCCGAATCATCTGATGTCTAAGGCATGGTTTTATTGACTATTATAAGAACAGTAAAACATGTAACTAACGACCATCCCTTGGGGCCAGAAAGAGCGGTCTTCAGTGGTAGGTGCCCGAGTCTTTAGTTAGAGGTTTGCACCGTGCAAAGCGTTGCATATGCAAAGAGCAACACGTGTTACATTTGGGAGATTGAAGATATCTGGATCGGTGTCACCGACGGTCCAAATGCTCTGTCACGTCCTGCCCGTACAAACTCTTGTCTTATTTCTGTTTTCCCTGGCAGAGATGTATGACGGCTGTCGGCAAGACGTTCCACCCGGAGCACTTCTACTGCCACACGTGCGGCAAGGTGCTGCCGTCGACGGAGGGATTCCACGAGCGCGACGGGCGAGCGTATTGCAACGAGGACTACTATCAGAAGTTTGCGCCCAAGTGTGCGTCGTGCGACCACGCTATCAACGAGGCGTTTGTCAACGCCATAGGACAACTTTGGCACCCGGAATGCTTCAACTGCATGGTATGTTGACATAGCAGGCACGTAGCACGCATGGTGCACGGGGGGGGGGGGGGGGGGGGGCACACGCACCCCCTCCCGCTTACGGAATTCGACCTAGGTTCAGCATGCACATATTGACCATTTGTGACATGCACCAGACATCCTACACGTATGCGGCCGTGCACCCGCCCCTAGAAGGGGGACCAGGTATGCCCCTTCATACGGCTTGAAGCACACATCAGGACAATGGGGTCTTGTTGAAAACGGAAAACGTCATTGTAAAGTGAAACGCCTGTGTGGATTCACAGGAAGCGTGAGTTTCGAAATCTGAAGAAGATGTTGAATGATCGCCGCTTGGACGACGACGTTACCGTAGATGGTGGTGAAGCATCGCTAAGCAATGATCCCTAGTGACAGCCAATATCTTCTTCAGACTTTTCCCCCTTTGGATTTTCCCCCAAACTAATGAAAGTACAGTACAATGGATATACCTAACTGTGGAATGTATTCAGGTCTATGCAGGGGTGTGTGTGTATGGGTATATTTGTGTGGGTGTGGGTCTACGCGGGCTTGCAACTGGTAACCTGTGTTATGGGTGTCTCTTGCCTCTGAGAAATGCACATGCTTCTGGCTGCGGTAGTATGGGGACCAGTGGAGTGCAGCCAGAATGTTTTGTTGTGCCTGGTCATGCATGCTTGAGTGTATTAGACATTCACTGGTATTTGATGCTTGTGCGTGTGTGTGTGTGTGTTTGTGTGTGTGTTTGTGTGTGTGTGTGTGTGTGTGTGTGTGTGTGTGTGTGTGTGTGTGTACATCTGTGTGTGTGTGTTCATGTGTGTATGCATGTGTGTACGTGCGCGCCCAACATCGTTTCTCGTACAGGAATGCAGCATGCCGTTCAAGGATGGCAACTTTCTGGAGAACAACGGCAAGCCGTACTGCGAGCGCCACTACCACGTCAGCAAGGGCAACATTGCCACGTGCTTTGCATGTAGGAAGCAAGTTGCCGGTCGCGTCCTGACAGCAATGGGCAGGAAGTACCACCCAGAGCATTTCTGCTGCTCGTTCTGCATGCAGGCTCTGACTATGGGCACGTTCAAGGAGAGGCAGAACCGACCTTACTGCATGTCCTGTCATGCTAAGCTGTTCGGTTAGCTGTGCCGTGTCGCCACCGTGGCCGTGCCGGCTGCACTCTCATGTGTGTGCGCCAGTGTGTGTGAGTGTGTGTGTGCGTTTGTGTGTGTGTGTGTGTGTGTGTATGTGTCTGTGATGCTCCGTCATGTGTGCGCGAGCGTGTGTAAGTGCATGGAAGTGTTTGTGCAAGAGAGTGTGTTCCGGTGTGCTGTGATGAAGCAGCAATTTGCATTTACCTTTTTTGCGTTTTGTGAGATCGTGTGTGTGTGTGTGTTTGTGTGTGTGTGTGTGTGTGTGTGTGTGTGTGTGTGTGTGTGTGTGTGTGTGTGTGTGTGAGCGAGTATGTGGATGTACATGTATGTGTGGATGTATGCGTGTGTGTTTGTTTGCCATTTTCCTTCGTCACTGTTCTGCTTCTCCAATACACTAAACAAACAGCTGGACATGATTACAGACATGTGGATAAGTTGAGGAGCTGTAATCCCATTCTGTGAAATTCTTTATTTGCTTCTCTAGTTAGCCTAGTTGGAATAAGCACATGTCAAAGCTTATTAGAAAATCGTAACATACCATGATATACCCTTTGTTGACAGCAATGCCTGCATTGCAGGCCCCGTGTGTGCAGGTACTGCATGCAACCATCCATTCCTAACGATGCATATAAGCATATCCACGTATACAAATCTTCACGCAAACGTCTTCCACGTTCTAGACAACATCTTGCCCATATCTGTTCGTCGGGTGTGTTGATGTACGAGCAATATATTTTTTTCAAAAATCCTATTCAACTCCCTGACCTTTTTTTCCGCGCACTACGGATTGTCAGTCAGCGTGCACAGGTACTAGCCGTGCCTGCTCGTCTTGCTCCACCACAGTGTCCTTTATTCAGGGGTGTCGCATACGGTACGGTCACTACGGTATTGACCGTACCACTATTTGCCTGTAGTACCCCGTGAATGAATAGAATGCACTGATTTGGGCTCTAAATTTCCACACTTTTCGGCTCAGCCACCCGCCACCGACGAGTAAATTGTACTTCAGATGGCTGACTGAACCACACTAAATTACCTTCCGACGCCCCAGTTATTGCACCTGAAATCTACTCAGATGATACTGTGTGTGTCCCTTCACCTGTGCAAATGCCTTCTGCAGGAACACATGATGATGATGTGCTGCGTGTGTGTTTACTCTTGCCGTCGTCGTACTGCTCTGAGCACATATCCGAAATATGTTTTTTGTTTCAGAATTCTCAGAGTCACCGCACACTCACGCATGCGCTTGCTTGCGCGTGTGTGCATGCGTGTCAGTGGTGGGTGGGTTGATGGTTCAGTGTGTGTGTGGGGGGGGGGGGGTGCGTCCCGGCTGGAGACGAGTTGCGAGTAGCACTCCACCGCCACGGCCCGCTCCTGGTCCTCTTCTCTGTGTCTGTGGACGCCCATTTCGTCGACCAGGAGACCTGAAACGACATGCCAAGTTCTGCGCTTGTGTTCTCACTTGAACTTTCCGGCATTCGCTATCATTGCGTACGCAATGGGCAAGATCAAGGTCAAGGTGTGCGTGCTTGTGTGTGTGTGGGAGGTCTGGTTTCTGCTTCCACTGAAGCACACATGTCGCGCCACGAGTTCCAGTAGGTAGTACAAACGTAACTAACCATCTTGGGCAATGCTGTAGACAGCAAGCTGTTTCCGCCATAAAGGCCTCATCAGCAGGCCGAGCTATCATCCACGGTGCAAAGGAGACACCACAGACATTTTTTAAGGTTTTAAAAGATAGCTCGTCGCTCTAGCGCCAAAGTGCTCTAGTTTTAGGTTCAAGTTTATCACCATTGGCTAGCACATTCAGTATCAAGTTCACGCCACCAGCGGCATAGCACTGACAGGGTTGAGGTCCTGATTATCACCAGCTGGGTGAAACCTTGGAGTTCAGTTGCCCTGTGTAGGTTCGAAACCTGCGCCATCACTGTAGTCTCAGGATTACCACCACGCACGTGGTCTGCTGGTACGGTTGTATAAAAAGGTGGATTGAACGTCATACCTGCATTGAAGATTCGATTTCCAGGATGTCATATTTGTCCAGTTGGTTGTGTTACCTTGGCTTGCACGCGCAGACTTTGTTTTTGTATAATTATAATAATTATGGACCTACTATCAAGGTCAGTGACGAACTCGGGAAGATTTGCCGTGACGTCAGAAGCAGACGATGACCCCGGCACACCTGCACCAGTATATGTAGACGCACAAGGTGTTTGCCTAGATGATGGGAGAACTATGACCCTCACAAGGCATGGCCTAATGGATAGAAAACATCCCGTTACCCAAGTTGACTTCAGCTGGTGCCAACTAAACGACTCTGCCTTCCTCAGAATTGCCTCTTGCCTCGGGCATTGCGAAGAGTTGATCCGGTTTGTAGCCGATTGGACGTGTCTCACGGATATCAGCGCCGACCGCATACGATTTGTAGTGGCGAAGCAGAGTTCACATCTGCGTCACTTCAGCTTGCTGCATGGCACGACGTTCACCTGCGATGGCCTCTGCAAAATCTTGCAAGGACTAGCCCAGTGTTGCAAACTGGCCGTCCTGCGTATTTCCGCTGGTACGCATAACTGTACCCAGTCATGTACTGGCGGAGCTGAGGCACTCTTCCTAGCCTTGTCCACTGCACTTTGGAAAAACAGACGGACGTTGAGAGATGTCACATTGACTGGTATTGACACGCGCCGGTTTGCCAAACCGTTCCTGTCTTGTCTCACCCATTCATGTGTTTCTCGCCTGGCCAAACTCCGATTCGTTGGACTCAATTTGGACAGCGCACTGTATATGGGTCTGCTGCAATCGGCCATTAAACATTGTTCCGGAACGCTAACACAATTTAGAGTGGAGAATGACAAGTTAGGCCTGAGCTTCGTCGAAAACATTATAGAGCCGCTCGCAGAATGCAGCACATTGCATACGGTAGGTTTTGTCAATATCGGAATCCCATCTAGCGCGCTACTGATCCTCGGCCGTATTGCTGCTAAACAACGCCAGACCGCTACGGGATTCACGTTAGACATCCTGGGAAATGATTTCTCCGAGGAGCTGGATGAATGTGTCTGTGCCGAAGTCGCAATCGCGTTCAGGTCACTGTTCATACTCTTCATTGATGTGGACAAGGTTCATCCAAACATCATGGGGGCCTTGCGATGGACCATGAAGACACGCTACAGAATCCGCAGCGAGCCAGCTGGCTCTTTGCCCGAAATTCCTCCGACAGCATTCCCGTCGCGGCCCTTGTTTGAGCACTGGTTGTTCCTACAGGAATATTCTATGAACACCAAGGCCAGTACTACGGGTAGAAGTCAAGATCAAAAACCCGAACTGCGTGTTCCATAATTAATTTATTATTTTCATTTTCAAACCTCTTGTGCTGGCAAAAATACCATCTTGATCAATCATAGAACTGCAACTAAAACCAAAAATATTTTTTTCTATTACATGACTATTGGCATTGTCAACGAGAGTAGCTCCTGCTTTGCTATCCCCTGAGATCACGCAGGATCAGTGTCCAGATGTGGCACGCGCTCAACATTGATTGTGTGCTGTTCTTCATAAAGTTAGTTCTCTCATGTATTGATGTCCTGCAGTGCAGCCTACCTTGCTCACCTTCGCGTCCTTGTCGGACACTCTCTGCACACGGGGAAAGCACGCCTCCTATACTGACTGTCTACCGGTGCATCGCGCACTGGAGGTCGATACACGCTGTAGTGTAGGCTGTAGCCCCACGCCCCATGCCGAGCACTGGTGTCGTATGTTGTCCCACCATTCACCATGCACTGTACAAATCTTGTAATAACATCATTTAAAATACTTGTGCTTGCACAACGTTGTATGTTCCCTACATCACGCAATGCACCAGTGCACCTTTTTTCAGTTTCCTATGTTGCCCCATAAGCACGACTGACCAGTCTATCGCTAGTGTCTTCAGTTTCTCACATCTCGCACCATGGCACTGCATCAGTACCATACTGGTATTGCTTGCCCCCCCCCCCTTCCTTCCTCTTTCAATCCCCACTGGCGCTGTATCACTAATCTGTGCTCTTGTCCCATCACTCGCCTGTGTACACTAATGATGTACTGTATCACTAATATGGGCTCTTGTCCCTTTACTGCACGCGTTTGGAACAGTCTTCCACCTGATGCGAGAAACATCACGTCCCCCCTACAGTTCAAGGGTGTGTTGCACGCGTATTGTCTTACTTCAAGTACTGTAGCATGACAGCAACCCCCCTCCCCTGTCTTGAGTACTACTAGTTTGTAGTAATCCTGATGCTCTGATACATGCCGAGGCTAGCTGTATGCTCAGTCTCAGGCTAGCTGTATGCTCAGTCTATACATTCTTGATCTTATCTTCTTCTTTTTTTCTTTTTTTTCCTTTCTCTTTTCTTTAAAATGTTTTACTGCCAGAAGTCGTCTTCATATCAGGAGGCAGACATGCCTGTTTGTTGTACGACTTAAAATAAATCCAACCAACCAACCAACTCGTCTGTGTACACTAATGATGTACTGTACTGGCCCCTCTGTCATTCCATCACACATCACCCATTTATATGAATGCCTCGAGACCAGTGCTGCCCATCTAGTGGCAATGCTCCATAATACAGAACTATACCAGCGACCCCACATGTCCTGCCCTGCAGACGTGACATTGTGTAGATTACACTATACATTTGTACATCTACATGTACGGCTCATTCACACTGAGATGTCTTCCGTATTAATTTTAAATTAATGTCTAACACATCATGTGAAGACGAGGTGATGGATCCAAAACAATACATCCGAGTACAGTTACGGTTCTTGATCCTTCCTCTTTCCATGTTTGCATCGATTTATCGCGGTCCTGTACTTAAACACGAATTGGATTATCACGGGGGCATATTTCTGTTCCGTGCCATTGGGCAATAAATTAGCCTCTGGATCGTGCACCAAACAACGTGCGGGCCTGACAAAATATTGGGCCGGCATGTTGTTCCTTTTCGGCTCAGGCTTTTCCAAACTGTAGAGGCATATGCATGTTATTGGGATGGTTTAATATCATGACGAAGAGCGTTTTTGTATCCGGCTAGTCAAATAGTTTGGCACGGCTAAGAATTGGGTCATCAGCAAGCTCACGTTGCAATATTCGTGTCCAGTCAGACCACTTAGAAGGGATGAAGCACACATTAAGTCATGCATGGATACTAAAGTTGGTGAAGACAGTCGGACTCAGGTGCACCATATCCCCAAGATATCCGCTTTAATTTAAAAGCGCACTTAGCACCAAGACAATCATGGGCTGTCGGGTGTCGGCACGCCGTAGATTAAAGGGTTGACAAAAAGTACATGGGCAAGCAGGCATTCAGAAACCATGCTAGATACTATGAAGTACTATGAGCCCGTAACTCGCAGGAAATGTCGGAAAGCAGCTGGTCAAGCATACCAATTTGCTAATACTCGCCCATCGACTGCTCCCAAATCCTTTCAGGGTTCATTTCCGTTCACTATCACCTGTAACCCGCTTCCGGCTTCCTTATTCTGAATATTCACCTAACGGCCATCCCTCAAGAGCCTCCAAGCGTTCAAGGAAAATGTCCAACACTATCTTCGCCGTAGCCATTGGCTTTGGGCCACTGTCTCTCTCTCTCTAGGAACAACTCTTTAGGAACAAATATCAGGATGCATACTCCCCCCCCCCCCCCTTCTGGCATTTATGTCCTCTCGTCCTCCACACTGACCATCCACGACATCATTGCACTCCCACCCTTTTCATTTTGCCGACCCGTACAGTTCTACCTTTTGTTTTTGGTGCGCGTTTTTGACCTGATGCCGAGACCTCGGATCGGGAGAGCCATCAATGCTCCAACATCACTGTTGTGTGTCGCTGCAGCCGCTGCTCAGTAATAGGCACGATTTCCTAGTGTCAATGCCATTGTCT